GGAGACTGTAGTCCTCATATTACAATGATTTATTCAGTGACTGCCTGAAGTTACCATGGTGCTGAATGAAAGGATTTATTGCTTTGAAGTTCCAACCCTCGCAGTGCCCCCACGGTCTTTATCAAAGGATAAAACAATATATTGTAGGAGAAGAGCAGGCAGAACTAGGGGCAGAGTTAAGCATGTCATCAGCTTAGAATCATTATGTTGCCACAAATGGTCCCCGTCCAACTGCCTTGAATTCCACTGACCATTAACTGGTGCCAATTTACTCATCTAGATTAATGTCGGGTGCAATGGATCAAGATCTTGTGTTACGTTGCATTTCAAACATTTAATGTTCATTTGCACAGCACTGGAAAAATGAGGAAACTCCTACAGAAGAAGCAACAATCAGAAACAAAATATTAGACTGTGCAGAAATGGACCGACTGACACTGAAGATAAAAGAAAAAGAAGACACAGACTATTTTCGAACAAGGGACTTGTTTTACAAATGGTTAGGCAACAGAGGTAGAAAGTAGGAACTGGAAACACAGTATTATGTAAGCAAATTAACCCAGACAACACGCTATTCACAAAGCACCTATGTGTGTAAAGAGAAAATATATGAATAAATAATAATAATTTTTTTAAAAAAATTAACGTTCAAGCTATACATTCTATACATTAGAACCTAGACCAGTGATGGCTAACCTTTTTGCTATCACATGCCAAAAGCAGGGAGAGTGCAGGGGTCGTACACGTGCCTGCCCACACCTATAATTCTATGTGCCCCACCCCTCTGCATATGCGACCCCGCCATGCTCCCCCAACTTTTGGTACATGATGGTCCGGTGGGCCTGGTAGGTCTGCTTTTCTCTCTCTCCAGATTCTAGGAGCCTGGGGAGGGCAAAAATGGCTCCCCCCCCCCCGGTCCCATTGGAAGTTGGCAAACGGGCCGTTTCTGGCATCCGGAGAGCCTCTCGGGGGGTGGGGAGGCCATTTTTGCCCTCCCCAGGCTCCTAGAAAGGCTCTGGAGCCTGGGGAGAGCAAAAAATGGGCCTTTCCCACCCCCACGGAGGCCCTCCGGAGACCGGAAACAGCCTGTTTCCTGACTTCCAGTGGGCCTAGAAGGCCCAAAAATCAGCTGGCTGACACGCACATGTGTGCCAGAGCTGAGCTCGCACCTTGTACCTTGATCTTTTGGGGCAACATCGTGACTTTAAGCTGATGGTGATCTTAATTCCACCTTAAGCTCTCCCTGCTCTTGTCCAACAGATATCCTGCTTTTGCAGAGATTTTGTTACATAAGGAATCTAATAGGAAGTCCAAACAGCATGAATTCAAAACAGCATGAAGAGCATAACCAAGGAAGTCCCAGTGGCAGATTGTCCCCACCAGTTATCCCAAGACCTCCAGCTCACGAGATTGGAGTAGGGCAAGTCTTGCAGATATAATAAAGTGGCCAGAGATGGTCAGGTGCCGTGAGAGCCAGCAAGCCTGCTTCTCTTCCTGTGAAGAACAGCAGGAGGAACATCTGGCCATCCGCCCTAGGAGGATTAGTCTTTGGTGCAGGATCTACCTAGCACTGATCCTTGCATCTTCTATTGGCAATTGAGAACTTTGTTTTCTAGGAACATCAATGGAAATGGAAACGGAAAGATGAATTGGGAAGTCCTGATTCCTTGTATGTTCTTCTACGTCCCCTGCTTTTTCTGGCCTTGATAAACTCCCTGTTGTGCTCATAGAACAGAGGCAAAGATGCACCTAAAGGGATTAGATTTTGGTGCTGCCCAAAGAAATTTCAAAACATTCTTAAAGATCCATCTCATCCTGGGCACCCTTTTTTTTTTAAACTATTACCATCTGGCAAACGGTACAGGACAATAAAAACAAGGACAAATTGGCTGAAAAACAGCTTTTATCCCAGAGTAGTCACTATATTGAATTCTACTGTATAGTGTAATATTAATGCAATATCAGGGGGTTTCAATTCAATTGTATAGAATGTGAAGGAGGTGTGTTTGTGTTTTATTTTTATAGTTTTCTTAGGTATGATGTACACTGAAGATGGCATTTAATTTCATTGTACAAGGTGCAATGACTAAACTAAACTAAACTAGTATCCATTTCCAGTTTCTGAATCTTCCTTGTGGATTGTCACATTTTGCATCATTTTTAACTGAAAATTGAGTAAACCACGCGCATGGTGTTAATATCTATTTCAGCACTGCTGTTCGTATCTCGGTTTTCCTTCCTTGCTATTTTATCACTTAAATTTGTTTTATGCTCTCCGTTGTCATTTTGGAACACAGCTATGTCAGTTGCAAACCACCAGACTCACAGGTGAAGAGTTCAATTAAAGGTTTCGTTGCTTGCGTCTACTTGCCTATAAAGTCACCAAGAGTCGGATGTGGCTGAATGGTTAAAAATAGCAACCCACAAGTATCTTCTCAGTCTGATGGTTTGGGGTGGGACTAGACAACGTTCAACAGTATTCAAGGGACGATAGGTCTTTGTGCCCACATTGGGACTCCAGATCAATTCCACATTTGACTCCTTCCACTGACTTGACCAGTCTCTCTCACACAGCTAGGACACCTTCTTAAGATGACATTTAATGATCCCCAGCTGGATAATTTGTGATAATTAGACTCCATGACTACTTATGCAGTACCCGAGTATGAAGCTAGTTTTGTGAAATGCATCACCTGGGGGAAATATTCTACTACCCTGCCTGAGGGTGGAGAACTTGTGAAGGGGCCTGAAAGGACTTCAGAATCAGCAGAGATTGTGAAGGGAATACAGGAAAAAGTCACACAGGGATTTCAGCTTCCAGAAGACTTACTTGTACATTGTTTGTGCTATTTATTTATTTATTTATTTATTTATTTATTTATTTATTTATTTATTTATTCATTCATTCATTCATTCATTCATTCATTCATTCATTTGTGTGGAATTGGGATTGTAGAAAACACCCAGGAGCATAGAAGAGTTCAGAGGCAGATGCATAAATAAATGTCTTAAACATATTTATTCATATGATAAATCACATTAACTATGTACAACAGAGATCAAGTCTCATGAGGAACGAACATGAAAAGAGAGAGATGGAGAGAGCAAGAGCGAGGTGGAAAAGGTTGGAGGGGGTTTTATACTCAGGGTAAGCCCCTCCTTTCCACATAGGGGTGGAGACACTCTGCCTCCACTGGCATCTATATGACACATGTGCCAATGGCTTGCAAATACTTGACGATTTGAAACATGTATATAGCCACCCATCTTCCAACCAACTCCGGAAGGCCCTCAGTTAAGCTTAAAATAATGTGTAAAACCATATCAAAACTAGAAAAGTGAACACATTAAAACATTGAAAACAACAGAGACCTGGCACCAAGTCAACCAATTTATGTTCAATTATCCAACTTTATCTCAGCCCTTGGGGGGAAAGGTCTTCAAAGCTTTTGGGATGGCTAAGAGGGTAAAACCTGATGAAAGTCACAGGGAAGAGCATTCCATAGCACATGAAAAAGGTACACTTCAGTGGTGGGTTGCTCCCGGTTCACACTGGTTCACAAGAACCGGTAGTAAAAATTTGTAGTAGTTTGGAGAACCGGTAATAACGTTGGCTGGCCATGCCCCCAATCCGGTCCACGGCCCAGTCACCGCTCACTTACCCTGCCCACCTCATCAGAGGCTTTTTTTTTTTTTTTTACTTTTAAAAGCATTTTTTCTACAACCCCTTCGGCCGAAAAAATGCTTTTAAAAGTAAAACAAAAAAAAAAGCCTCTGATGATCCCGCGGCTCAGCTGGGATTGTCAGAAGCTTTTAAAAGCATTTTTTCTATAACCTCTTCAGCTGAAGAGGTGGTTTAAAAAATGCTTCGAAAAGCCTCTGACAATCCCAGCTGAGTTGCCTGATCGGCAGAGGCTTGTCAAAGCATTGTTTTCTGCAACCTCTTAAGGTTGTAGAAAAAATGCTTTTAAAAGTAAAAAAAAAAAGTTGGCCACACCCACCCAGTCACATTACCCCCCATCAAGCCACGCCCACAAAATAAGCCACACCCACAGAACCAGTAGTAAAAAAAATTAGAACCCACCCCTGGTACACTTCCTAGCTTCCATTAGATGACAATATTTGGGAGAAGGGACTAGGACCATGTTGACCCTAACTTGTAGGACAGGTTGATGTCCTTTAGGAAAAGGTGATTGTGTGACCACTTGGCCCCTGTAGGGCTTTAAAGGTGATGACCAGCCTCTTGAATTGCACCCAGAAGAAACTAGAAGTCGGTGCCAGAAGCTCACGCAACCAACGAGTGACATGGACCACCCGGGGGCAGCCATCACGGCGCTGGCTGCTGCATTCTGGAGCTGTTGAAGTTGATGGGTGCTCTTCAAGGGCAGCCCTGGGTAGGATGTCTTGCAGTCATCCAAACAGGAAGGAAGGAAGATTTCAGAGCAAGGATCATTATGTAACATGCAGAGAACCAATAGGAAAGAGACAAGGAAGGTATTAAAGGCTGGAAATAAGACAAACAGGAGCATGTAATTCAATCCAACATATACTTTTGTCAGTCGTACTTATACTCCCCACAATTTCTTTTTAACATTGCAGTCATCCTGGGTTTCTACCATGCCTGTATGTTGTTTCCTACACCGGTGCTTCTCCCCTGACTATTCAACGGTTGTTCCCACTCCGCATCTGAATCCTGAATCTTACCATGAGCTGTCTCTTTGCTTTGGGGCGGTGGAATCTAGGATAGGAGAAAAATGTTGTATTGGCTTGCAGGGTCCTTAACAAACTAAATTGGCCAGGTGGGACACCAAATGCTGGAACCACGGAGTTTTCATTAAGGCTCAAGGTCCAGTTTCTCATGTTCCTACAACTGTAAGAGTTTTTTTCTCATGGAAACAACATCAACATTGTGAAAATGCTTCTGTTTGAGTTCTCTTTTATCCTTCCTGGGGGCTCAGAGACACAAAGTTCAGCATTCCCTCTCCCCCCGCCCCCAAAAATCAATACCACGCTGTCTTCCAGCAGCTGAGAAGCTTCCTCAGAGCCCCCTTCACCTCCTTGTTGCGGAGGCTGTAGATCAAGGGGTTCAGCATGGGGGTGACGATGCAAAATGATGTGGAGATGAGCGCGTCAGTCTCTATGGAGTAGCCAGCACTGGGCTGGTTGTAGTTCAAGTATCCATTTCCAACGCAGAGAGTTACCACAGCAATGTGTGATGCACAAGTAGAGAAGGCTTTGTGCCTGCCGGTGTTAGAACGAATCTTCAAAATAGAGATCAAAATTAAAAAATAGGACAGGATGATGAAGAGGAAGGGACCGAGGCCCACAAAGATGCTGGTGATGTGATTGGTCAATTCGTTGACCCAGATATCACTGCAGGCAATTTTTAGTAATGGGGGAACATCACAAAAGATATGAGGAACATTGTTGTTTCCACAAAACTCCAACCTGGAGGCCAGAGCGGTGTGGATGGCTGAGTCCAGGAAGCCCCAGAGCCAGATGGCCACAGACAGCTGGACACACAACTTGCTCCTCATCAGGTGGGCATAGTGCAAAGGTTGGCAGATGGCAGCGTAGCGGTCATAGGCCATGACAGCCAGCAGTGCAGGCTCACATCCCGCAAATCCAATCAGGAAGAAGGCTTGTGCCAGGCACTGTTCGTAGGAGATGGTGTACTGCTGGCGTAAGAGGTTCACCAGGATCTTTGGTACCACCACAGAAGAAAGGCAGATATCCAGGCAGGAGAGCTGGCTGAGGAAGAAGTACATGGGGGTGTGGAGACGGGAATCCAGGAGAATTAAGATTATGATCATGAAGTTGCCCAACAGAGTGACCAAATAGGCAGCTAAGAACACCAAGAAAAGGTGGACCTGGTGGCTCCGAAGGCTGGAGAATGGCAGGAAGATAAATTCTGTCCTCTGTGTTTGGTTGTATGAATCCATGAGGATCTCTATCTAACAAAATGAAATTCAGTGGTGAGAAAAGCCAGATTCTACATTTAGGCAAGAAAAACTGAATGCAGAGGTGTGGAATAGCTGGTACCTGGCTTAAGAAGTGACTGGACAGTCACTTTCTGGAATGGTATAAGATCTTCTGCTTGAATATGGGGTTGGACTAGAAGACCTCCAAGGTCCCTTCTAACTTATTCTGTTATTCTATCCTTGCCCTTTGCCCTTCAGTAAGGACCTTCAATTCTCTCGCTAATTCAAGGTTCAACCCAGCCCAAATTATACCTTTGAATCTTCTCCTCCAAAATGCTTGTATTACTCTTAGCTTCAATGCAGAAGAAGGCTGCCATCTCTTGATCTTGACAGACCTAAAGCTCTTGGTAGAACACTTACCTACCTCCTCTAAATGAAGGTCTATTTAAATTCTGAACCATGTCAAGATATGATATTAGCAAAGGATTGCATGATAAAATGGGCACAAAACATTCAGGAACCAATAATGATGGAAACTTGGGAAAAAATATGGGTTAGAAATGTAAAATTTACCCAAGCACAAAATTTAAGAGAAAATTTTTATAAAATGTTTTACAGATGGCATTTGGATCCTAAAAAGTTGGCTTGTATGTATCCGAATTTGCAATCTAAGTGTTGGAGATGTGATTGTGATGATGCTACTTATTATCATATATGGTGGACTTGTAAAAAAGTTAAAGCATTTTGCATTAAAATATGGTGGATTATCCAAAATATTCTTAAAAAGAAGATAAAGTTTACTCCACAATTGTTTTTGTTGGGTATAATCACAGATTGTACGGTTATAGAGACTAAACTGATTTTAAATTTAACAACTGCAACTAGACTTTTGGTGGCGCAATACTGGAAGAAGGAAGAATTGCCTACTATTGAAGAATGGACATTAAAAGTGGCAAATTTGGCAGAAATGGCAAAAATTTCAGCATACTTGAAAGATCATTCACAAGAAAGATATATATTGGAATAGAGAAGATGGATTGATTACATTCAAAACAAATATCGAACTAAAAAGTATCAAATAGCTTATGAACGAATAGAAAAGTTAAGAGTATGTATATTTAGTTAAGTAAAAGGCGAGTTAAAGTGTCGAGCGGGGGATAGGAATCTGTAGTTAGTTATCTTAGCTTAGCATATGATTGTTAATTGTTTTACCCTGCATTTTATTCTGGGAAGTCCGGGGGGGTGGGGGGGGAGGAAGGGAGGGGGAAAGGGGAAATATTTGAAAAAAAATTCTTTTTTGTAAAACTTTTCAATAAAAAAAAAGAAAAAAAAAAATAAAATGAAAAAAAAAGGTATGATATTTGCAGAGATGATCAAAGAAAGTGATCTCGCTAGGAACAGATTTAGGAATATAACACTTTTTTTCTTCCTGGAGTCCAGAAAATGATTAATATGTGAGAAATGGACTAAGAGACTTTGAAATCAGAAAGACAATGTGGTGCTTTGTTTTGTAGAAGTGCTTCAGGAGACCATGCTTTCCAAGTAGATGGACATCTTGGGGTAAAGGCACCCCTTTGAAGACACCACTTCCAAACTCAAAAGCAACCGCTTCCTCTTCAGGTTGTGTTGATATACATTATCTCTGAACATTGAAGTTCCACCTGGCTACAATGAATAATATCAATATATAATAAATAGTTGACTTAGATTGCATGCACATGATGTGGGTTGACTACCCTGAATCTGGAACCTCCTCGGTAGTTTCCTTGTCTGCCCATAACAAAAGAAGATGGAATGTCTACCTGTAAGTTTCCAGCTCCTAACTTTCAACCAAGGAGCTGCTTGGTCAAATCAAAGTCTATGTATGGAGCAGCAGATAAAGCTAAGAAGGAGGGCTGATGTTGGATTGGTGTTCATTACAAATTATAGTCGATTGTGAATCTTAAGCAAAAGAACTCCGAGATTCCCTAAATGGAGATTCCTTCCAACATGAATGGAAGGAGAATCCTTAATGAACTACAAAGCAGCTCACCTTTGCTGGTTATCCTACCTGCAGAAGACCGGGTGTGAATGAAGCAAAATCATCTTCTCCTCAAGTTCTCCCAGAGTTGGGCTTTGATGCAATGAACTGAGAGTCAACACTCTGCCAAGAGAGCAGGAAGGGAGGTGTTTGGATGTTCATCTTTAGAACAGAACAAGTTTTGTAGTTGCTTGCATTATCCATGGCAGGTGGTACTCATGGGGGAAATTGTGCCTTGGCATGAGGGCCTGGCAGTATTCCTGCCTGGGATCCTCCAGGGAGTAGAGCTGGGAGGGCAGACAGCAGAGATCCTTGGGGGCAAAGTTGACTTCTCTGGGACTTCTTAGCAAACCCAGGAGAGTTTTCTTGCATCACATTCAGGGATGGGGAGAAATGGAGAGGGCAAAGCAGAAGAATCTTTTCCATATCTGAACCTGAAATCAGTTGTCTCATTTGCTTTTAGCTGGTGATCTAGAAACAAATCCAAGAGCCATGGTGGCACACTGGTTAGAATGCAGCATTGCAGGCTGACTCTGCCCACAGCCAGGAGTTCAATCCTGACTGGCTCAAGGTTGACTCAGCCTTCCACCTTTACAAGGTCGGTCAAATGAGGACCCGGATTGTTGGGGACAATATGTTGACTCTGTAAACTGCTTAGAGACGGGCTGTAAAGCACTGTGAAGCGGTATATAAGTCTAAGGGCTATTTACTGTCTCCCTCCCTCTTCTGGGAGGTTAACTTCTAGTTAAAATCATTAGTTCAGTGACCCTTTGAAATTACGATGGTGTTGGGATTTACAACCAGTTCCTGATGTTCCAGCCATTGGAGTTCCCCCACAGCCACAGGAATGTAATCAGTGGTGGGATTCAAGTAATTTAACAACCGGTTCTCTGCTCTAATGATTTCTTCCAACAACCAGTTTGCCAAACTGATTAGAAAGTTAACAACCAGTTCTCCCGAAGTGGTGCAAACTGGCTGAATCCCACCACTGAATGTAATTCAGGCATTTTTTTTTTTTAATTTGATTTATATGCCGCCCTTCTCCGAAGACTCAGGGCGGCTTACAATGTGCTCAGCAATAGGCTCAGCAATTTGGCCAAGGGAGTGCGATGGCTAAAGTAGATAACCAATGTTTGGGAAGAAAACAGGCCAAGCTTGCAATTCTTAATTTATTATATTCAAGAAAAGAATAAAGAATTTATTATATTCAAGAAAAAAAATTATGAATTTGCAATTTAATGACAAAATTTCAAACAAAACATTGGGAGGGGAATGGAAATAGGAAAATCCCCCAAAGCGTTCCAGATAAATTTGCTCAATAACCTAACAATGTGAGGAAAATACATATAGCAAATAAAAATTTCCTTCAGAGTTCTAGTCATCATGCATGGGGGGGTGGGTGGGGAAGAGGTTGCACAACATTACCCAATTCCTCATGACAATATTTTGTTAAACCACCAACACTCCAGGCTCGCCTAATAAAACGACATCAATCCATCCATCCATCATTCCATCCATCCATCCACCCATCCATCCCTTTCTATATTATCTTTCTCAATGCTCCTAGCAACGTCATCATTATGAAGCAGGTTGTAACCTCTTTCTGGAGAAAGCCTTAAGGAAGGCAGTCAACCCAAAAGCCATTGACTGCGTCTCCCCAGAAACCCTCTGCCAGTTTCCTCCATCCGAGCTTCACCCGACAGAGCAAGAACTGCTCTCTACAAGAGTCAGAAAGGATTCGAAAGTTGCATGTCTAAGAATTCTCCTGGTTTTTCTTTTTCCCAGGAGCTATTTATGTCCATGTTTCTGCTAACTTTTAACTGCATAAGCATGTTGCAGAGGACACTTCATTTCTGCTTGGTGAAAACCTCGAGGAAGGTGGTCAGTCTGAAGGTTACAGATTATGAAAATCAACCAAACATCTAGTGTCTGTCAGCCATCCCAACTTGGTCAATTAGGAAAGAAAGACTCTTGAATCCATTATTAACAAAAGTACATTTCAGTAAAGCCAAGTGGTTGCAAAGCCGGATCTGAACTTTCGCGCCAAACACATCCAATTAACTTTTCTCCTTTCCCTCCTTCCTCCTTGGTTAGCTTTTATTGTCCAGTGACATTCGAATAAATTATTGTGGTAACCGTCCCTGGCTGTGGGCTAGAATGGTGTTGCATTCCATAGTATGGCCTTGGAACGGCCGGCTGTAGTATCTCATGGGATACTACAAAGAGTAGTTTTGATACCCCTTATCCCAGCCATCTCTTCACCACCCTGTAGCTCCCATCCACCCCCCAAATTGGATAGGGCAGACTGGCATTTGGCAAAAGAGAGCTAATGTGGTAGAATGACAGTCCTGGCAGTGTCTTGCATGTATCTTTTTTGCCCTGATCATACTCAGGAAAAACAAGAGTTGGCCTCTTGATGTGCTTAGAATTTAGAACTTCTGAGAAGAATCCTACATTCTCCTGTGTCTTTCCAGGACCTTCCTCAGGGCCCCCTTCACCTCCTTGTTGCGTAGGCTGTAGATCAGGGGGTTCACCATGGGGGTGACAATGCAATACATGGTAGAAATTAGGGTGTCGGTCTCCAGGGAGTAGCCAGCACTGGGTTGGTTGTAGTTTAGCAATCCATTCCCAAAATAAAAGACAACCACCAGCAAGTGAGAAGAGCAGGTGGAAAATGCTTTCTGTCTGCCTGAGTTGGAACGGATACGCAGAATGGATGCAAGGATGTAGAAGTAGGAGATGACCACCAAAAAGAAAGGGGTCATTCCTGCAAATATGGTGGCTATGTGTAAGGTCATCTGGCTCACATGTACGTCACCGCAGGCAATTTTCAGCAGTGGTGGGAGGTCACAGAAGATGTGGTGGATCTGATTATCTCCACAGAAATGGAAGTTGGAAGCCAAGGCTGTGTGAACTGCTGCATCCAGGAAGCCCCAGATCCAGATGATCACAGCTGCTTGCATGCAAACACGTGGACTCATGAGGTGTGAGTAGCGCAAAG